AGCCCCCGCCAGCCCCGGCCCCAGTCCCAGCTCTGCCGTCGGCCAGCCTGGCGCCCACCGGCTGGATGTCTTAGCTGCCCCGCGGGAGGACCCAGAGGTGTTCGGGGGTCTGAGGGTGTGCCATTTGCAAGTTCTTAAAACACACACACACCTAGGGATTCGTGATTAGGGAGGGGGCACACCGTGCGGCACCCACACAGCGGCATGTCTCTGAGCAACCCAATGGGGCACACGGTTGACACCGCGAGGATGAATTTAAAAATAAACCCAGCGGAGGGAAACGGGCAGCGGCCAAAAGGACCCGCCCTGGGCGTCCCTGTCTCAGGAACAAGATGCCAACTAACCTGTAAAACAAAGAGGACACTTTTGGGGCTGGTGGGTAGGTGCATTATCTTGGTCGTGGGGATGGTTTTGATGGGAAACTCAAGACGTTAGAAGTTTTTAGTGTTAGGCCGATAGTTAATGGGCTCGGACATGAATGCACGTAGAAAGCTATGGTTGCAGGGACCGGAATGTGTGACCTGCGCGGCCTTCAGGAGACCCGCAGCCATTCGTTGTGCCCGGGAGGCCCGCGAGCGACCTAGACGGTATCGGAGCCCTGGTGCTCCAGGGAGAGGGCGCCTGCCGCCCGCATGCAGATGAAGGGGTGCCCGGCAGATGAAGGGACATCAACCGGCAGATGAAGGGATGCCTGGAAAATCACAGGCTGCAGCTTTTATCTGATTAACCTTTTCCCCTGAATTCCAAACCCCTTACTTACTTTCTCCTGAATTCCAAACCCTTTACCTACACTTTCCTGCTCCTTGTAAAAAGCGTGGCTTGAAAGGAGATGTTAGATGGTCCCGATTGCTGGCCGCCAGAACAAAGGTCCATAGAGATCGAAGTCTTGTCTCTGCTTGTTGGTGCTGGTGGGGGCGGGCAGCGCACACGCCGACTTCCCGCTTTCAGGGTCCGAGTGGGTCCACCCACCCGGCAGTTTTGAGACAAGCGCACACTTTAAACGAGCAGTTTACTGTATGTCAAAGCCCCTCAGTAAGTCTGCACAAAGAAAGTAGCTGCAGCTTTATTGGTGCCACGGTACGTCCCCTCTGTCCCACGCGTGCACTTCCGTGTGCTGCAAGAATAACCCTCAACATGGGGAATTAGTTAGGGACTCCGGGCTGCTGCCGGCAGGGGATGTTTTGGGGATGTCCTCTGGTTCTCCAGTGCAGGAGCGCCGAGACTGTGGAGCTGACCCCCTAATTTTGGTTTTGGGGCACAGTGCATACTTTTTTTTGTTTTTTAATCTTCACCCAAGGACCACTGATTTTTTTTTTTTTTTTTTTTTTTAGGGAGAGTGAAAGAGAGAGATAAAGACAGAGAAAAACATCGAAGTGAGAAAAAGACATCAATTAGCTGCCTCCTGCAAGGCCGACCAAGGCCCAGACCAGGGATGAGCCTGCAACCGAGGTACATGTCCCTGACCGGACTCGAACCTGGGACCCTGGGTCCGCGGCCGACGCTCTATCCACTGAGCCAAACTGGTAGGGCCAATGTTTCTTGAAGAAATCTGGGACCCAGTGACGGCTTTAAAAAAATATATATATTTTATTGATTTTTTACAGAGAGGAAGGGACAGGGATAGAGAGAAACATGGATGAGTGAGAAACATCGATCAGCTGCCTCCTGCACACCCCCTACTGGGAATGTGCCCTTGACCGGAATCGAACCTGGGCTTGCAGCAGAGACGCGGCCCGGGGTCTGCAATCGAGTCCGCAGGCCGACGCTCTATTCGCTAGCCAAACAGGTTAGGGCACGGCATTTTTTATTTTTTTTTACCCAGAAATTCTACAGCCAGTAAAAAGTTGCAGTCCCTTTAAGCTGGGAATTTCGGGCAAGGTGACAGGAGGCCTGCAGCTCGTTCTCAGCTGCGCGCGCAGCCGCAGAGAGGCCGCTGGAGGCGCGGTGCTTCCTGGTTTCTGTGGTATGATTTGTCCCCATCGGCGACTCGTAGAGCCCTGGACGCAGCGCGGCTCCTGATTGGCTGCCTCCCCCGCGCTCGGGAGTCCGCGGCCCCCGCGCAGGGCGACTTTGCCGGTAGTGGCGATGTCCGGCCGGTCCAAGCGGGAGTCTCGGTTCCACCCG